GTGTTGCTGTAATGTGTGTTCTCTCTCTATTTATCATGTATAGTAATGTACTGTGTGTACTAGCTGTAATGTGTGTTCTCTCTTTATCTAGCAAGTATTGACTCGTGAATGAACTAACTCATTGTATGATTTTGCGTTCTAGTAATAGTGCTAGTATCTTCTTGAACTACCCCTATGGTAGATTACTAGTAATGTAACTGGTACGTATGAACATGGAAGTATACCCTTGCTACCTAAGGGTATTGAACTGACTGGAAGAACCTTTATGACTATATATGTACACATGATATATAACTAATATTTAAACGACCTTCGAACGGATACCTGATACCTTACCAGACCACATCCCAACGGGGAAAAGGAAATAAAGCGGGCTAACATTCCTAAGTCCTTTAAACATTACTTATGTAACTATACATATATAGGCATGAAATTGACAATATAAAAGCATAAAAGAAGTTTTGTAAAACCATTGAAAAGTTTTCGATCTAAGAAAGGATGACTTGATGTCAAATTGTAAAACGATTTGAAAGCAGTTTGTTTGATAAGAACAATGTAAAGTATAAGGAAAACATTTGTTTTGAATCACAACTGTAACAGGGTTTGAAAAGATACACTCAATATGCAAGACAGTTTAACAAAGAGTTTTAACTGAGTAAAAACGTTTAAGAAAGCCATTTGAAGTAAACTGTTTGGTAAAACAGCTAAAAGAGTAGTAAATCCTTATGTATGCTACTTATTAATCACATGAGATTAATATAATAACTAGCATCATTCAACTTGTATACCCCCCCTCATAAAAGCATTTAAAAACATTAAAATCTTTGATTAAGGGGTATGAACTCACCTGCAGTGAGCGGATCGGAAGGAAGTGTCGGACAAGTGCTTGGTGTCAAGTGGAGACTTAGACACACACAATGATCCTAATTACATATGAAGACATATGTATATAAACAATTAGTTATTATAACACTAATTAAACATGTAAAAACATCCTATTGTGAGGAAAACACTTTGGTTAAGTGCTAGGAGGCTATCGGGTTGCAACAAAGAAGTGCAAGGCCTCATACGGGAGTTTATGGTCAAGGGACCATACCTTAAGGAGTTTTACGGCCCAGGGGAGTTTACTCTTGGCCATAAAATCTCTATTGGGTCACCAAATGGAGCCTAAATCTCTAAGGGCTTAAGTGGTTAACTGCTCCAAAGCTTAAACAAGGGTTTGGGTGGGTTTAAGGTCCTAAAATGACCTTGTATGGTGTTTACAGCCCTGGGACCACTCCCCCATGAGTTTACGGCCGTAAAATCATGGTAAGGAGTACCATTTCGTGCAATGAAGTCCTTAGCTCAATGGTGTAAGGTTCTATGTTACTATCCAAGGCTCACTAGGGTGTTAGGGTGCCATTTGCACCCTTAAAAGGGGTTTACGGCCCTAAGGCCAAATCCCTTTGTGTTTGTGGCCGTAATCTCATATGGACCATGGTATTTTTGTGCTTTCAAGTCCTATACTCATTAAGGTATGAGTCTATAGTAGTTTCACAGGGAAGGAAGGGACTAGGGCACACTTTTGGCCCTTAAATAAGGGTTTACGGTCCAAGGTGTTCTTGGGCCGTAAACTCTTTGATCTTGGTGATTCCTTGTGATTTCTTGATGTATAGACATATAACAAGCCCTATTATACTCTAAGATAGAAGCACTTATGATTTGGGACGAAAGCCTGAAGATCCTTGAGAGAGAATCGGGTTTTCTCTAGTTGAAAAAGGAACAAATGAAATAAAATGGCTAAGGGCCATATTTATACCCCTTGGGGTTTTTGGTCAAAAATTATCATTTGAGCCGTAAACTCCAAACTCTTGGAGTTTTGAAACTTTTAAGATGCACATAATACTCTAGGGCATCATCTCTCCCGATATCTCCTAAAGTGTTAATCCTAATATGCTCAAACTTATTCCAAAAGTTTGAAAATTAGCAGGAGTTGATCTGACTTCTATTGAAGCGAAGGATTGTACGGAATAGAAAATTTCGGGTTGTCACAAAACCATCCCACAAACCCACAATTATTTCTTGTTCAGGAACAACCCCATAATCTTCGACATGGATTCAAATTTGTCCATGAGGTAACTATCACATCTTGGCTACCACATGTTGTTGGTGATTCGTTTCACTGATGTTATGTAAGTGTAATGGGATTACTTTGTTGACCAAAAGTGATCTTGATAAATATTAAACAAGTAAGGAAGGTGTGGAGTGCACACTTGTTTAAGTTTATTCAAGATTAAAAGTAAATTGTCATTTAGGGGTGAAGCCCCTGAAGGAACGGGGGTCCAATGGGCGGCAGCCCCTAGCGGGGTCCAAGGGACAAAGCCCCTAGCTGGGATCGAGCTGATATTAATCCTTATAAAAACCCTGGATTATGACAGTTTTTTTACGGTTGCCAAACTGTTATATGATAGTTTTGACAGTTTTCAGACAAAGGAGGTACTTAACCAATTTTGGTCAGTTTTTCTGGTACATATGAAATTCATACATTTCCTTCTCTGTTCTTTTCTCTTCTGAGTCTTATCCAATAAAAGATTAGGGAGTACCACTCAATACTTTGATTTGACAGTGAAATCACAATTCTCAGAATATATAAGTGCCTCTATTACCCTGAAATTCTAACACATGCGTATATCACCATTTTTTGGAGTTCTTTGTGAGCTCGATCAAATTTCCAAAATGTAGTCAAGGAAGAAAGAGAGGTGGAGGTATTTAATTACACTTGATGGTTGAAGAGTACATGAAATTGTCAATACAATCTCATATCATGGAGCCTTTGTGTGATAGATGGTAAAAACACACGGGGTTAATCCCTCGTGTCATGGAGTGTCCATGGATAAAACAAAGAACATAAGAAAAAAAAAAGAGATGGAGAGGAGATCTACAAAGAGAAAGTCGACAGTGGAGTTAGGAGTTCAGGTAGGGTTAGGAGATATCTAATACCATCTAATAGAGTGATTTTCCCATAATCCAAAATTGTATCCCACCAAGAATATAAATACAATACAAGGGTAATGGTTGACATACATTTGGGTACACATAATAAACTATACAAATATAACAGCATATACAAATATACTTATGTATCTTTTTTCCCTTAATGTTTATGTTTCTAATGTTGTCAAAGAAACAATATGAGATAGAAGTTTGATGATAATTTTCTGGGTCAAGACTTTTAATATTTGCTATTTGATGGAAATCATTTAAATGAATTATAAATTGACAGTTGAATAATTTCACATAGGGTAGTGTTAGAATAGGATAGAGTACCCTTCAGTTTGATTGAATAGTTTTCCATGAAATCCAATCGTTCACATGGGCTATGTTATGTCAAAAGTAATCAAATACGAAATTTAACAAACAGAAATATAAATCAATCGAATATATATATATATATATATATATATATATATATATATATAATATTAAAGATTCACAATTCATAATACATACTTGAATGTTGATGTATAAAACAGATTTACAACCACGAAAATATGTAGATTGAATCCTGCGAATTACAGTGTCCGGTATTGGTCTGTCTTGAGGATACAACAATCAATTAAAAAACAAATCTTGAATATGTCGAAGATCACCATGCTCCCATGTTATATCAAGAACAATTTTTAAGAGAATGTGTTTGTTTCATTAGCCTCCGGATTATGTCGGGTTAGAATCCAAATATTTATAGGCTTCCAATGGTGGTTGTAAAACATCAACCAAAAATAACTGCTAAAAATTGTCAAGCAGTTAATTCTCTAACTAACAAAATTTAATAAATAAAAATAAACTGTCAAACAATTAATTCTATATACTTAACAAATTTTAATAAATAAAGATTAATATATATAATAAATATTGCAACACCACAACCCAAACCTAAACCCAAGATACTAAACACATTACCTAGTCCTAAATGAGTAGGAAAAGTCTTATAAAGCATAAAAGGTTTTCTCTTCTCTTCTTCCTATATGTGAGATTTTAAGAAGGTTTTCTCTTCTTCCTGTAGTGGGACAAATCTCACATGTATTTTTGTAGAACAAAGTTCCAACAGGCTAATACATAATAAAACACAAATGCAACATTACGCAACAATCCTATCCTCCAGCATCACAAAAGTCAAAATCAATAGGGCTTAAGGCCTAGACCAGGTCATATATTTCACTATTGCAGGTTGATTTCTTTTGATCAGGCCAGCAGCCTGATTCACAGGTTGGGTATGGGAACAAGGTAATGTAAACGAGTATTAGACTCGATGTAGCCATAGCTTATGAATACAACTACAAGCTTAACATAGCATGGAACCAGAGAAGGCACAAATATCAAACTTGGGTCAAACAGTTATTTTCTTAAACCTAAATAAATAAATAATTAATTAATTATAATCATGACGTGCTTTTTCCTTTTAGATCAACACGCCCAGAGATCCTTAAGCACTTCTCCCTTTGCAACAGCCTGGTCACGTAGCAGGCAAAGAGCCTGGGACCTCCTTATCACATATGCTCGGAAAGCCCTCTGAATCACCATGATGGCATCCAGACGTGACAACTTCTTCTCCTCCTCCTTTTTCTTCTTATCCTTCTTGGTCTTCTTAAATACATGACTATCGTCTACAATGGCAGCTGTTGACACCGTGAAGGTGTACTTACGTACATACCTCCACCAGTCAATCGGCGTAACAGCAAGCCCAGGCGTTTCCTATTAGATTTAAAATTAAAAATATCAACTAACCCTAATTAAAAATTTTAATTAAACAGAAACTCGATGTCATAATCTACAACTATAAAAGTGGTACCTCGGGTAAGTCCATGGTGAACGTCGCGTTTGGGGAGTTGTCAAACAAGAAGTTTCTAGCTGCACTACACATTCTTACTTTGTATGCATCCACATTCATGCGAGAGTCCATACTCAAGCAAATTAAGTTGCCAAAAGGTGATGGAAGGTGCGATAAATAATCCGGAAATGAGGAAATACACTGCAAGCGTGCATATATATTATACATAAAAATATATATGCACATATTGAAATGAAATCAACATGCATATATACCTCAATAATTTGCACATTAAGTGTTAGATATTTGACACTATGGAGCTCTTGAAGAATGTTAATAATTTTGCGAGCATCTTCAAATACTGGATAGCAACCCAAACAGCAGATATTGACGTGGTTTAGGGAGTGAAATCCATCTTTAGACAATTGCAGGGGAGGACCATAATAACACTTGTAGCACAAAGATGAAACTCCTGCTGGAGCATTCAAGTACTCCAATGAGGTGTCAATTATCGTGAGATTCTCAAGTTGTGGTGCAATCACATTGACGACTTTTACATTTCTTCCCTCGATAAGAATGAGATTAGAAAGTCGAGGGGCTACCATGTCAAATACCTTCATGCCCATGAGACGGAAATGTTCCAGAGTGAGGTCTTTTAAGTTGACACACTTGGTGAAAATGTTATCATGTACAGAGTCCTTAGTGGTTTTATTAGACATTAATACGATGTAACTGAGATGCAAAGTTGTTAAAGCTGGAAAATCCCAAGGCGTTGTGGGTGGTGATTTTATACAACAGTTACGAAGTGTAAAATGTTTTAGAGAGTGAGAGCTAAAAAGGCAAGCAGGGAATTCATGGAGCCTATTAGGATCATCATCAGCGACATTTAGTTGTTGGATATTGTGAGAGAAGGCATAATTTGCAATCTTTCTCACTATAACTTCACAATAATCTTGTCTATGGGAAAATACCAGGTTGATGGATGACACTTGTATTTGATTGTTGCGTTTAGACAAAACATTAGTCACGAATTCGGAAAACTTTTGTAAACAACCAAATTTCCGACTTGAGAAATTAAGACAAGGAATTGATGTCCAGACAAGCTTCCATCTTGTTGACAACAAACATGTCTGAACACCAAATTTCATGTCAATACAAGACAGGATATTACGAATAACCTCATCTGGCAACCTGCTCAATCTATCTTCTTCTTCTTCTTCTTCTTCTTCTTCTACCACTGGTCTGATATTATCTTGATCAAACTCCATTCTCTGCATCAAGACCCAGCATACAAATACAATACAATCTTAGTTTTCTAGCTAGTGATTCCAATAATAATTTAAAAATCCATATCTGCACTCCATAATTAAAAGTTAAATCAATTAACTTCTTACGCCTAACCTAATGGAACTAAATATGGAACACAGCAGCAATAATATCTTAAATCATTTTGCCATAGATGTATTAAGGCTATTTGCGAATTTTATTTTATTATTTTACTTATTCATTTATATATTATTATCAATATTTATTTTAAACGAAATCAAAAAATATTTATTAGCCTGCAAACCAGTGACTAAGCAGAGGATCATCAAAGGGAGATCAAGAGAGAAAGATAAAAAATCTCAAGACTCCAAAAATTCAAAAATAACTTGCAACAACGATGGGGAATTGTCTCCATCTGGAACACACAAATCGAAATCGATAACTCACGATCTTCACCAAACAAACCAAACTAAAGTTAAAACTCTCTAACAAACTTTTCAAAATTAAAAAACACGATTTCAAGACGAAAATCGATAATAATAATAATAATAAAAGGCGATTATTTTCTGTAACAAACAACGAAATCGAGCTGTAAAACGAGATTTTTTTTAAAAATCATCCAGCGTCTTCTTCGCCCTTAACCTTAAACAGTTGTAACACAATTTTCTGGATATTGTACAACAAGCAACAAAGATATAGAAAAAAAATGTTCTTGACCTGTTGGATTTCAACGGATTTGCATCTGTTTAACGGATCTCCTCCTCCAAATCATGCATAGCGAAAATCATCCGGAAACGGAAATTTTTCGCTTTGGGTCTACTGAATGGATCTCAAATCTCAACCGCAAACGAAAACCGTTTCCGTAAAACAGAAATAATTGCATTTCGTCACCAGGTTTCTATAACGGATCTAAAAAAAACAAAAACCAGAAACCTCTTTGTTTTCTCCGACGATACACTCCCAAATCGTGTATATATATATATATATATATATATATATATATATATATATATATATATATATATATATATATATATATATATATATATTATAAAAAAACTTTATTTTTTAGAAAGCGCGTACAACGCGTGAAGCATGCCTCAAGAAAGCGCATATGACAAACGGTGGAAGACAGTCAATCGTCGCTTAAGACAAGACGTTTCAAAGAGAAAGGTACATCTTTCCTCAAACGCTTTCTTTCAGGCTTCTATTTCCAAATCCCGGACACGTTGCTTCCATCCTCACAACAGAACGACGCAACTTACCATTGTGCCGATTCAATCCTTGTTATCATCGTTCCTCACCTTCTATATAAAGGCTTTTTCTCTCGTATCGTCCACATCGCATTTACTCGTTTTCCAAGGACGTCGGGTAACTTGTTTGGGAGACGCTTTGGTTTCTATGGTATGTGTTTCTGAAAATTTGGGTTTTAATTTTCCTATACTTGCTTTTAGAGATCATAGAGAAAGACAAATGTCGTCGTGTTAAAGTCTAAGGGATCATGGTGAATCGACACGGTTTTAGCCAGCTTCCGGAAAACGATGCATCGGAATCGTCACAACCTCTCATACACATCTTGAAGACAGAAATACGGTATATATGTCATCTTCTTTCCATTCAAACTTCAATCTGGTTCAATCACTCTTCAGTTTTCCATACGCCTTCTCTCTACCTCATCATCAACAATGTGCTTTGTTTTTCCAGGGCATAATGCAGATACTCGAAAGCGAAGCAGTTCAGGCCCGAAGATGAAGAATCTTTATTGGATTACATCGAGGGTTTTCAGGTGTTGCGACAATGGGGTTTCATAGCATCTGGTCTATGTTCTTCAAATTGAAAATTAGGTGAGACTGCTTTTTATTTCAAGCATCACGGTTGATTAGAATTTTCAAGGTTCTTAAGTGAACCTGCATCATCATCTCCTTTTTTTTATCTTTTCTAATGTTAGGGCTTCTTAATTTCAAGAACAAGTATCTTGTTGCAGAAAGTAAAGTGGTAAACCTTTGATTTGAAGTTTGTGTAATAATATTTACAATTTATCATTATATTCATTTAAATGTGACAATTAATAATATGAATGCATCGTTGTTAAGAAAAATTCATGTATAATTGATTAAAGAATGCATCGTTGTTAAGAAAAATTCATTTATAATTGATTAAATGCTATGAAATAGGGAAGCATTAAAGATTGCACATGTGGAAGTTAGTCACTTTCTGATTCGGACATATATAGGAGCTTTGTCGGATTCCTATAACCTGTTTGATGAAAACGTTTGAAAGAAATTTTTTAGTGTTGAATGCACTGATTGATGGATATGCTCATATTAGTTGGTTCATGGAGAATCATATTCTCTGTTTGCTCAAAGTTAGGACTCTCGGATTTTGAAGATATGCCTCAAGAAACCGCAAATCTGAATCTATTATATTTACCATGGGTCCACATAGACATAGTGGTGTAAATATATTGATGGACCCAACATCTGAAAATGTTAAAGATTGTTGTTCATAGCTACTGAGATTGCCGTCAAAACTATTGAATAAAGTAATAAAGATTAAAATTAGTTTAGGTACTAAATGGAAAATTACAGATACGAATGCCAAGTAATCAAAGTGTGTATCATCTTAGTCATTTGTTATATTTAATTCAAGATTTAGGTGGGTATCTCTTATTTCTCAATTCATTTTATTTTCTAAGTAGAAAATGTCCATTCTTTTATCTTTTAGGGGTGTTTGGATGTGCAATTAAACTCATTATTGTTTCTTTAACCATGATAGTGCAAATATGTTATCGGAAAAGTTTTTGAGCCCTGTACACCGGCTTCCTCGATTAGGACCAATGTATGAAATTGTTTGAAGAACTTAATAGATAGAGGCAACAACTTTTGTATTTTAATTATTGGAATGATTCATAGACCTTCTGAACATTCTTCTATTTATCACTTATTTCCACGGCTTTACCTTAGGTAAAACTTGTGGTTTGCAATTTTTATTTCAGCCACTAAAAAGCCGTTTATTCATGGCATTGCCAAAAGTATCAAGAGAAAACTTTGAGTTGCTATTTGATTCATTGTATTACACTTACGATTTTAAGGTGGTTTCGGTTTATAACCTCTTGTTGGGTGTTGGGGGTTGGTTGTCTTATTCCTTTCTCGTATTTTAAACTCATATTAATCCATCAGATTCCAAAGATCATTGCAATGCAATTGCCTAAAATTTCAAGAGGATAGACTAAGTTTCTATTCATGTGTATAAAGAACCTAACAACCATAATAATGTTAAATTTCTTCTTTAATGTAACATCTTGATGTCATTAAAAGGCCACAATTCACTATGTTATGTCGAAAATGAAAAGATAAATTGTGACTAAGATAAATGAATTATTTCTTCTCTATATGTTCATCTTCTTTTGGGAAATATTTCTGAAAACCAAGGTGTTGTATGATAGACAAGGAATGAATGGAATTGTTCACTCCTACGGAATGAGATTGTTTTATTCAATTAAAATGGAATGGACAATTTTTGAAAGAGTGTGAATTTTTTTTTGTTAATTTTCATTACTTAGCCAAGAGGTGTTTTTTATTAATTCCTTTCTATAAATTCCAATATAACCGGTTTTAATTCATATTAATGACAATTTTTTTTTTTTTTTAATAATTTTTATCAATATTCAACCGAACATGATCAGGCAATGCGATGACTTGCTCATTCCATTCAATTCTTTCTAACAAACAAATTTTTAAAAAATTCTATTTCTTCATGTTATTCACCCCCCCCCCCCCATATATATATATATATATATATATATATATATATATATATATATATATATATATATATATACTAGGTGTACACGAGTTGATTTAAAAAACACTAAACATTAAAGTGTAAACAAAAAATATCTTTTAATGTATAACTAAAAAAAATAAAAAAATAAAAAATAAAAAAAACATATTTATTGCAATTTAATATCATATTAATACTTTACAAATATAACTGTACAACTTTAATTTTAAAAATTGAGACAAACCAAAAATTGACAAGTAGATAATATTTATTTCAAAAATAACAAAATGACAAATGTCAAAACTAATGAGAGATTGACATGTGGCAAAAAAAAAACATTCATTTATTAAGAAGGATCATAGAAAAATGCTACGTGTCAAAGAGACATTCTAAAAAACCGACACGTGTCATTTTTAGGTTTCATTTATTATAAAAGAAGATATATATATATATATATATATATATATATATATATATATATATATATATATATATATATATATATAGGGTTAGGTTATTTTGTTTTCAATATCTATTGTGTGCATATATGATTGATTCTGGATCAATCATTTTAGTTATTTTAAGAAAATAATTAATGCATATTACATGTTGAAGATATAATGGGTATTTATTACATATTCAGCATTTAATATGTATTAACTACTTTCTTAAAATAACTAAAATGATTGGTCCAGAATCAATCATAAATGCACACAATAGATAGTGAAAACATTTGAACTTATCTCTCTCTCTCTCTCTTTCTATATATATATATATATATATATATATATATATATATATATATATATATATATATATATATATATATATATATATATATATATATATATATATATATATATATATATATATATATATATATATATATATGGAAAAGTGAATATACCCTTAAGGGTATATAAACTTAGGTACCCAAACCCACCATAATACGTGGTTTTGTTTGATATATTTATTATATTTTTCTTAAACTTCAATCTCTAACTTGATTTATTTTTAAGATTTTCAAAATTTTCACTATTATCTTTCTCTTACATCATATCTTTTTGCTAAACACCTACTAAGCTATGCATATTATAGTTGAAAATGAAAATCATGTAAAAGAAAGATAAATGTGAAATTTATAAAAGTTTTGGAAGTAAATCATGTTAGAAGTTGAATTATAAGAAAGAAAATGAAGTGAGTTTTTTTTTGAAAAAAAAAAATTTGTTTTTTATATATTATCATGGATCTCTATGGAAAGATGAAGAAAATCATGAAAAACGGTATATTCGGGTTTTTTTCGATAAAAAACATGGCCTAAAAAAAATTTTAAACAAAAAAAAGTAAGTGAGTTTTGTTATAATCCAATGCATGTGCGTCCATTGTAAAAGTTTACAACCATTCTTGTTGTCCATGATCGCTTTAAATTTCAACGCTTTGGATTGGTTCATTGGTTCCTTAATTAATAATGGTTTTCTATTGAAAATTTTTCTCTCTCTCTCTCTCTCTCTCTCTCTCTCTATATATATATATATATATATATATATATATATATATATATATATATATATATATATATATATATATGATATAGATCCGGTAAGAAATTTTTTTTGGTAGGAAGGTAAGAAGTTTTTTTTCTACATATTTTTTTGACGAACAAAAAAAATGAATCACTAGATGATTCATTTGTAAGATGATTCACAAGAAAAAATTCTCAGAAAAACATCTTTATGATTCATTTTTAAGTAAATTAAGAAAAAATTCACTTTTTATGATAATTTTAGTGAATAACAACAAAATCATTATATAAATGAATCATCGAGATGTTTTTTTGAGAATTTTTTCTTGTGAATCATCTTACAAATGAATCATCTAATGATTCATTTTGTTTGTTCGTGAAAAAGATATGTAGAAAAAAAACTTCTTACCTTCCTACCAAAAATTTCCTTCTTATTTGATCTTGATTCTATATATATATATATATATATATATATATATATATATATATATATATATATATATATATATATATATATACACACACACACCTTAATAAGCATTTACCATGTTTTGTTGAATTTTAAGAGATACAAGACC